AATGGTTTGATGAGTTTGATTGGTTGGAGTATAGTATATCTAAAGATGCGGCATTTTGTCTCTATTGTTATCTCTTTAAAACCAATTTTGCACAAGTAGATAGTGAAGCTTTCACTGTAGATGGATTTAAGACTTGGAAGAAAGGGAGAGAAAGATTTAAGATGCATGTTGGACCGGTTAGGCGTGTTTATAATAAGGCTAGAGAAGCTGCTACAAATTTGATGAATCAAGCTGCACATATTGAAACGGCAGTGAGCAAACACTCCGACCAAGTTCGTAAGGCTTATCGCACATGCTTGAATGCATCAATCAAGTGCACTAAGTTTTTATTGCGACAAGGTCTTCCTTTTCGTGGCCACGATGAAAGTGCCACTTCAAGCAATAGGGGAAATTACTTGGAGCTATTGCAATTCCTTGTAGATAATAATGATAAAGTTAGAGAAGTTGTGATGGAAAATGCTCTGGGGAATCTCAAATTACTAGCTCCTAGCATTCAAAAAGAAATTGTGAATTCATGTGCCCTTGAAACACTTGATGCTATCATGGATGGTCTAAAAGATAGATTCTTTTCAATATTGGTGGATGAAGCACGTGATGTGTCGATGAAAGAGCAAATGACTATGATGTTGCGTTATGTGGATGACAACGGGCATGTAATTGAAAGATTTGTGGGTATCTAACATGTTACCAACACTACTTCAAGTTCACTAAAAGATGCTATTGACACATTATTTTTTCGCAACGGTTTGAGCATTTCCAAGCTACGAGGACAAGGTTATGATGGTGCTAGCAATATGAAAGATGAGTTGAATGGCCTTATAACAAAGATATTGAGAGAACAATTTTGTGCATATTATGTTCATTGCTTTGCTCATTAACTTCAACTAGCTCTTGTTGCCGTAGCAAAGAGGAATATAGACATTGCCTATTTTTTTGCAACGGCTAATAGTGTGGTTAATCATGTTAGAGCATCTTGTAAGCGGCGTGATTTACTTAGAGGGCAACTTTAAGAAGAGCTTGTGAATGCTTTTGAAAATGATTGTCTTATAACGAGACGAGGCTTAAATCAAGAAACAAGTCTCTAACGTGCCGGTGACACACGATGGAACTCACACTATGGTACCTTGATTAGCATCATTTCCATGTTTTCATCCGTGGTTCATGTGCTTCAAATGGTTATTGATGATAATCCCAATGAAAATGCGGGTGAAGCAAATAAGTTAATGAGAGAAATACGTACTTTTGAGTTTGTGTTTCACATTTTCTTGATGAAAGTCATATTGGGACTCACAAATGATTTGTCACAAGCATTGCAAAGGAAAGATCAAGAAATTATGAATGCAATGGCTTTAGTGAAATCATGCAAGGAAAAGCTACATTGGATGAGGAATAATGGGTTCGATGCATTAGTTGATGAAGTATCTACTTTTTGTGAAAAAACATTATATTGATGTTCCTAACATGAAAGAGGCATTTATACTTCCAGGGAGGTCAAGCGTAATGCTCCGATAAAGACAAATCGTCATCATTATCGTGTGGAGCTCTTTATTTATGTCATTGATGAGCAAATTACAGAGTTAGAAGATCGCTTTAATGAGGTAAATACTGAGTTACTTATTTGTTTGGCATGTTTGAGTCCGAAAGATTCATTTGTAGCTTTTGATAAACCAAAGTTACTTCGTCTTGCTCAATTTTATCCTTAAGACTTTTCGGATGAGGATCGTTTGACACTTGAAGATCAACTTGAGATTTATATTCATTATGTGCGTTCCAGTAGTGATTTCTCTCAATTGGAAGGGATTGGTGATCTTGCAAAAAAAATGGTGGAGACAAGGATGCATCAAGTATTCAATTATGTATATTTGCTCATTACATTGTCTTTAGTTTTACCAGTTGCAACTGCTTCAGTGGAGAGAGCATTTTCTGTCATGAATATTGTTAAGGGTCCACTTAGGAACAAAATGGGAGATCAATGGTTGAGTGATAAGATTCCTGGCTCTGCCACTGTCCTTAATGGTGAAACCTTTTCCAAGCAGATACTAGACATACAAAAAGATTTAAGCTTAAAGACCTTAATATCCAGCTTTTGGGTAATTGGTAAGTATCTGCTAACCTTCCCTTATACGTAAAAAATTCTGATAACCACAATCAAGGCAACAACAATAAAAAACAAAAGCAAAAATTCCATGCTTTAAGTAGAAAAAGCTCACTTCTGTTGTAAAACCCATTCATAAAGATTTAGTCAACCATTAACAATCATTCACTGTTGTATCAAATTGAAAACAATAAATTGTGTAAATTTACATTTGTTTTACTCAATTTTTTTTTCATTAAGCTTTCATGTTACTGTAAATTTAGGTGTTTTCTCTCTATGTTGGTGTATCTGCCTAAACTTGTTAAATGTTGGTTATCTTATGCAATTTTTGATATACTTAACAACCTTCTGCCTATGAGCAATGGAGCACCACAAATTTATCTACATTATGGTTGTTAGGACAATGGATTAGGCTGTAGGATAAATTTGGACATACAGCTAACCCTAGAGGTGATCTAAACAATCTACAAAAGACTAAGAGCAAACCCTAATAGTTATGTAAACAATACAAAATATCTATGCTAGCATTAATGATAGAAAAAATATCTATGACAATTTTAATAAATGGAATGGCTAATCAAATAGTAAACAACAATTAAAAACGATAAACTGAAAAAGGGTTAACCCTAAGATGAGCTAAACAATCTACAAAGATATATGACAAATTTAATGAAGGAACAAAATATCTCTAACAATTCTAAAACAGAAAAAGGATCAATCACACAAAAATTAATCAAGAAACAAACAAATTAAATCAGTGGAAGACCCTAATTGACTAAAACAGAGACATAATCCTAGCACCCAATTGAACAATTTATAAACATCCATGGCAATTTGAATGAAAGAACAAAATATAAATGAAAATTTTAACAAAGCAAATGGCAGTTGGACACTAAACAATGAAAAAAAAGCAGTGCATTACCTTTTGAATCAAGGGAGAAAATTGAAACCCAGACCTTGCCATTCGTCCCTCAGCCATCCCCTTATCACCGACTCTGCGCATAACCCATTAACCCTAAAGACTACACACACCCATGCTTTCCGCTCTGGGAGATTCGGGAAAGATGGAATAATTATACAAAGAAGAGAAATGATTTGAAGTCTATTGTTCGATTTTCTTATTAGCACAAAATTTAATCAAGCAAGGATGAATTGTTTTATAAATTACAGTTACGGATCATGAAATTCAACAAGCAACAGCTGAAATAGTTGTACAAGCATAAAAAAAGGATGCCGACTGACATCTTTTATTAAAGATTAAGATCAAAGGACTGACGAGATTTATAATAGTAAGGATGTAAGAGACATCCTCATGTCAATGGGAGAATTGATGAATACTTGACAAGGTTAAGGCCTTTCAAATATGTAGTCAAATTTTTCTGCAGTCTTAAAGCATGCACAACACATTCAAATTTGATGAAGTATATATGAAACAACCAACAGGGCTTCATTGATTCTCAATTTCCAACACATGTTTGCAAATTGAAACATTCTCTCTATGGTCTTCAACAAGCCCCAAGGGCATGGTTTCAATGCTTTTCCAACCACCTGGAACATTTCAGTTTTGTGGCTTCTCAGGTAGATTCGTCTCTCTTTGTTTACTGTCATGGTTTAGTTCGCATTTATTTACTAATCTATATTGACGACTTCCTTATCATAGGCAATAACATCTAGTGCATTAACACTTTGATGAAGGACATGGGCACAACTTTCTCCATGAAGGATCTTTGTCCTTTGACTTATTTCTAGGCATGGAGGTTCACCAATCTAGCAATGGGGTTCATTTATCTCACTCCAAGTACCATGGACTTACTAAAACGCACAAATATGGTTGATTGCAAACCAGTTTCCACACTTGCAATCAGTGGCAAATGACTCAACCTTTACGATGGCAAACCATTGTCAGACATCACTAAATTCAGAAGCGTGGTAGGTGCTCTTCAATATCTCACATTCACACGTCCAGATATTGTGTGCTCTATTAACTAGGTTTGCCAATTCATGCACAAATCTACCACTACACACTGGATTGTGGTCAAGAGAATTCTTCGTTATTTAAAAAGGAAAACTAATGAAAAGGGCTTGAAAACTTTGAGTTTTAATGATAAGGACAAAATAAAGGGTAAAGTGAATAGTACCAGGATTGACTTTTTAGTGTAAAAATGTGGTTTTTCGTTAAAGTAAACAGTACCGGGTGCTTTTCGTTAAAATTCCCTATTTAAAATCCCATGGTCTTGTGTATAAACCCGGACATTTCACTCTTATTGCCTTTGCTGATTCTGATTATGCTAGAGACCCCGATGATCGCATATCAACAGAAGGATATTGCATTTTTCTTGGTTCTAATCTTGTGTCCTGGAGTTCCAAGAAACAAAAAGGTGTTTCTCATTCAAGCACAGAGTTCGAGTATCGCCAACTTGCCATTATTGTCGCCACAATTTCATGGTTTCGAAAGTTATTCAATGATCTTCATCTTCAGCTTTCTCCTCCAAAGGTGTGGTGTGACAATATTTCTGCAATCTCCATGGCTTCCAAACACAACATGTTGAGGTGGACTACATTATATTAGAGAGAAGGTACTCGACGCAAAATTCAAGTGGGCTACGTAGCTACCCAAGATCAAGTTGCAGAATTTTTAACAAAAGGCCTGTCCACTTACCAGTTCAACCATCTTCTGTCCAAGCTTCCCGTTCACCGGCAACCGCTCAGCTTGCGAGGGTGTGATAAACCAAGTTTGAAATCAAAGCTTCCCACCACAAAACTCACTGGAGATCACAACGGAATCAGTCAACAGGAAGGCTTAGGTAAAACTTCTCAACAGTCCAATCCTTTGGTTGTTGAATGATTTTGAATTCAAATAGATTATTTGTTAATTATATTATCTGTAAATTATCTTTGGTTTGTTTTTGAAGAGTTTGTTCTTCACTCAAATTCTACTTGTAATCTCTATATAAACATTAATATAATACGCTCAAACTATCGAGCACAATTCTTAAAAGAAGATTGATTGACTAGAACCATGTAGGTGAAAAAATAGCAGGAAGAAGATGAAGGGGGTGGTCGGAATTTGAGGCTTACCGATCAAGGGCGTAAGGGGATGGGATGGTAGTGAAAAACTAACGGGAAAACAGGAGAAACACAGATAAAAATAAATAATAATAAAAAAAAAACAACGAAAAGGGGGTTGCCGCCGACCCTGACCACTGCTAAGGCCGGCAACCAAGCGATCCGTCGGAATTTTTACCACTCAAAACCCAGTGAGAAGACCTCTCACGCAGAGAGTAACTCTCACCTTTCAGGAGAGAAACAAAGACACGACACCTTTAGCATCCATCTTCATTGCTTTGCTATTAGAAATGACGGATGGAACCCAAACGTATTCGCGAAGCCGACCAGCGTACCCCTCAATCTACCACTTCCACCAGGTCCTCCTCCGTTTGCTACACTATGTCGTCCAACTCTTCCACATCGCTCTCTTACACCAAAAGACTGCCGCAATTCTTCACCAAGCAGGGGCCTGAGCTTTTGAAATGAAAATTTAACTGATTGCAACTGTAACCAACGCTTATATTACGAGACACACAGAGTAGCCAAATATGATCTGAGACGGGCTGGACATCCGAAGAAAGTAGAGGCGCAGGGTACACTTCCTTTCCATTGACTTCCAAAACACCAGAAAGCTCCCATCCGCTCCCATAAACTTCAAATACAGCGCACAGAGAATATCCCATCATCTTGTTTAACGCCATTGTGGAGTTAGGTCGACGCTGACTTCTGGTCCCATCCTTTGATGAGTGAACCACCCAGGAATTTCCTTTCCAGGCATCACAATTTCATATCCATCTTCTGCATAAGGGACTCCCTGTACATGTGAAACAGTGATGTTAAGCAATGAGAGAGAGAGAGAGAGAGCACCTTAAGATATCTTTGGAGCACAGTAAATGTAATATGATTGTAGCATTCTTTCTCAAGCATTCCAAAGCAATTGATGAAATTGAAGAATGACAAATTCAATCTGCCCAAATTTGAGGGACATTCCAGCGTTTACAGTTTAGTACAATCATTTGCAGTTACTTGTAAATCTACACCTGATGAAAGAACTGGAAGGTGTTGAAGCTTCCTGCAACGACTCAAGTATAAATTCTCGAGCTTAGAGAGTTGGCTAATGCTTGTAGGAAGACTAACAAAATTGTTTCCACTTAAGTTCAATGATACCAAAGACGATAAGCAGCCAATATCATTGGGGATTGCTCCTTCACAAAGATTGTGACCACTTAAGTCTAATTCCATTAAAGAACAAAAACTGATGGAATGATGAAGGCTCCCTGTTGGCATTAATCTAAAAGGGAGCGACGTACACCATGGTCGTCGTGATGGCCCTTCCATTCCACGAAAGATCAATGCTTTAAGGTTTTTCAGCAGGGCAATGGATATGGGCATTCCTTTATACCAGTTCCACTTAAATTAATCTTCTCCACAAACTCTAATTTCCCGAGGCTTTCTGGCAATTTGGCAAAAGATTTGAGCATCCAGACACATCAAAAACTTTTAACAGCCCTCAAATTTCCAATGGCACTAGGAAGACATTTCAGATTTTTGCAATCTCTCAAGTCCAATAAAGAAAGACTAGTTAGATGTTCAACTGATGAAAGTATACTTTCACCGGTCCCATCTAAAGAAAGCTTCCGTAAATGCTCCATAGGTTCCACAAAATTCGGTATCCTTTTAATGCTTGAGCAGCCAGAAAGAACTAGAACTTCAAGGTGCTCCATTTCAATCTCATCCGGAAGAAGCTCGAGACTTTCGCAATCTTTAAGGGTCAAGAAAGAAAGCTTTTTGAGAGTTCCTATGGAAAAGTGAATCTCAACCAGACTTTCGCATCCCTCAAGATCTAATCCCTCAAGATTCTGAATCCCCTCAAAATCAGGGGTTCTAGTCAAACTTTTGGAATGACTAACTGTAATGATTTTTAACTTGTCAAAATTCTGTAATGTTTCCAAGAAATGTAGAATAATTAGATCTAGAAAACTCAAATAAAGGTCGTACCCAGTGCACAAGGCTCCCGCTTTACGCAGGGTCTGGGAGAAGTGAAATAAGGTAATGAAATATATTCTTTAACAAATAAGGTAAATAATATTGTAGATGTAAGTGTATACCTTTTTTCCGTTCCAGAGCTGTTCAATTCTACTATGACACATGCTAAGTTCAACAAGCTCATCCGGGTCGAATCCTGATGGGAGATATTGTAGAGGATAACCTCCCCATTCAAGAAATCTCAAGGAATTAGGGAGACGGTTGAGGCCTTCAGGAAGGCGCACGTTATGGACTTTGAGCAATCTAAGATTAACCATCTGATAAAAAGCTTCAGGATGGCATTCGACCTCTTTTGTTTCAAGCAAGTCTAGGACAATGCCTTCAACAGTTGGTGTCCCCTGATGACCAAGAATAAAAAAACAAGTGAATTGCGGTATAATATGCGCATTATAAGTAAAGGAAGACGAGTAAAACTCTCTTACTGTTTTTTCCTTCAAAACATGAAAGATGTCCTTAGAGAGCCATAATCTGCTTCGTCCACCAGGTTCTTTAGATTGTTGACCAACAACTGCTTGACCCATTTTTTGTTACAAATCATTCATCCACACCATGTTATCTGAAATTGTTATCAGATACTTCTTCATAAAGACATTCATGCCGCTACCTGGATTAAAACCACAACCATCTAGAATTTCAACTAGTCGATCTTTGTACTCTCCTTTAAATGAACATGCGATGTCAAGGAAAATATCCTTCTCATGCATATCTAATCCCTCGTAAATTATTTTAAAAATCTTCATAATTTTTTCTTTAAATATGAAATCATCCCCTAGTTTATGCAATTGACCACGCCATGCATCTAGATCTCTTCCATTCAAAGATAACCCCAAGACCTCAAGAGCAAATGGAACGCCACTGGCATAATTCACAAAACTTTTAGACAGATCCATATGACTATTAGGCGGATTATCTCTGTTCAAGGCTTTCAAGCTAAAAAGTTTAAGAGCGCCAACATGACTCAACTCCGGCACCTTAAATCTTCTTTCTACACCCTGTGATATTAGCAACTGTTCATCTATAGTCGTAACAATGATTCTACTCCCTTGACAAAACCAAGCTGGGTTTCCACAAAGCTTTTCTAACTGACTACTATCGTCCACGTCGTCAAGAATGAGGAGAACCTTTATCTGAAGTAAGAAGTATCTCATTCTGGCGGTTTCACAGACGTTCCAGTCCTGTATATTTCTATTCATAAGGCTACTGGAAAGCTTCCTCTGTACACCAGCCAGACAGTGTGCCTTCGAGTCCTATCTAACTCTTTCTTGAAAGCTTTTGACTTCAAATTTGTGACAAATCCTCTTATAAGATGCCTTGGCAATGGTTGTCTTACCTATCCCGCTCATCCCCCATATCCCTATAAAGAGAACATCATTTGACTCTAGCTCTAAAAGCACATCTAGTCGCTTCAGTTTGGAATTAACTTCAACCAGGTTTTCTTCAGGCTCCAATGATAAAGGACCGACTTCATTTCGTACCGTTTCAAGAATTTCTCTGATGAGCTCTGGTTCCTTTCTATAAGAAAAAAAAAGACAACGTTCAAGATATGACCTAATACACAACAGAAACGAAAAAGTTAGACTATTTTTGTTTTCGTCCACCTGAAGTCCTAGTACCAACTACCGAGTGGTCTCTGCGTCCATTTAATTAGAGGGTGGTTTGGTATTGGACCAAATTAGGGACGGTTCAGGAAAAGTGGAGGACTAAAAAGCACAGCAGTATTGGATTTAAAAGATGAAAATCTTAACTGGATCAACTTTTTTCCCCTTAGATTCTCAAATGGACCAAATATAACAAAAAGTAAATGATAAGGATTCTTCGATTTTCCTAAAACGTATAACGTATTCTTCGTGCATCAGGCTTTAGCAGAATTGAATTGAACTCGAGCAAAACTCAACCGAATTCTAAAAAAATAGCGAAGAATGAAGGGTCAAGTGCTGATTTGCGAAAACTTTTGAAATGAGAGAAAAAAACAAGTAATGCTAACCTATTCTTTGAAGGATACCTTTGATTTTGGCCACTTTTGCTAAGGCAGCTTTCCATCGTTCCACCATCACTTTGTCATTCTTATACTTTTGTTCGAGTTGAGTGAAGCCTTTCCCAAAACTTGCAGACCGATCTCCAACATCGGAGGGTTCCACCGAGTAGAAAACTGGCATAACTGCCGCTCTCACTTCCATGCATTCAAGAATCTTTACGAGTTCGTTCAGGCACCATTTTGAAGAAGCGTACTTTGGAGAGATGACAATGATGGCAAGCCTCGACTTTTCAATTGCCGGGAAGAGTTGAGAAATTGATCTTCCTACTTCAAGTTCTTCCTCATCATAGAAAGTTCTTGTAATTCCTTGTTCTTGCAATTAATCAAGTAGATGGGCGGTAAAACCTAAGCGCGTGTCGCCACCACAAAAACTCAGAAAGACATCATATTTCCATTCAAGAGCTGAAGGAAGAGATGAAGTGGCTCGTTGGGTGCTCAATGCCATTGAATACAAGCTAACTGGAATGGTGGTACTAGTTTTTCAAGCAAAAACATGACCAGAAAAACAATTCAGCATTCACAATATTATATTAGCCAATAACATGAACAGAAATAACTATGAATCAGAAAGATGATCAATAACCTGGGAGTATGTAGAAAACGAAGTCACAGTCTCACAGATCAAGTCAGATTGGGCATGAGAGGGGCTGAAGATCCATCAGGAAAAAAAAAACCTTCGTCTCTGTGTGCTTGCTACAAGTTTGTCTGTATGTCGTGAAGTCCAATCAATGAGTAGGTACACCAACCCATCAGGATCTGGATCCCATCAGGATCCAAATTGTGAAATCTTAGAGAACCTTACATCATTACATCATAGATATCCATTGTACATTATGTAATCAGAAATTATTTAATTTTTTTATTTAAAATTAAACATAAATAATACAGAAAAATTTGAAAAAGTAACCAAAATTTGAATCTCATATAGAGTTATAATCACATTTTTAAATTTATGATAATTATAACCAAAAGTTGATGTGAAAATATTAATATACCCTTAAATCCTATGCCACAACCAAAATATCCAATTTTGTTAGCCGCAAGCAAGTTCGTCCTCTTCCCATGACTTCTTGAGTATCTCAGTCCCTCTTAACCAGCATATACTTCTGAAAACTCTAGTCCCTCCCTGGTGCATAGGTGCGCAGTAGCTTTGAGGTGGTAGTCAGTGGCCCATTGGATGGCCTGCCGGACATTCTGCGGCTCACCCTTCATCCAAGCGCAGGGAAGATGATAAAACATTAGAGCTGAAATCAAACGCAGATTTCAGTTTCAAACGTAGATTGCAAGTTTCCCAACTCTTCAGTCCCAAAACTTTCAGGTAAGTTATAACTTTATTGGGTAATGTTTTGTTATTTTTGGTGTTTGCTGAGAAAATCGGAGGGAATTAGAAAGTTTTTAGTCATTAAGGGTATATTAATATTTTTATATCAACTTTTAGTTATAATTATCAAAAACATAAAATGATGGCTATAATTCTATATGGAGTTCAAATTCTGGTTATTTTCCATATTTCTCAATAATACATTAAAAAATCAACTGCACGATGTACAATAAACGAATAGAATATGAGCATTCTTACAATCGCCACAAAAAGATCCTCGTACCACCAAGTTGTCCAGTGGGCGTCGTCTTCTAACGAAACTTCACGACGTAAGCTTGATGGACGTGATTCAACTGCTTCTTTCCATTCGAAGATCGATCCGCGTAAGCTCTATTTTCCCTCTTTTTTTTTACTATTATTATTTTATTCGTTTCTGTCATCTTCCGATTTTATTTTTTGTACTAAAGCAGAGCACACCATTGTTGAATGTCTCTAACAAGGACTAGGAAAAAGCACCCAAATGGAGTGATGTGGCTTATTATTTATGGAAAACTAACCAAAACACCCTCAAAAGTTTCACTTTAATCATCAGGACAAAACTTAGTAAAAATGCCAATCATGCCCTTCACACATCCATACAAGATTGCTCAGCAATTTCAGAAAAATTTTGCATGCCAAAGATAAGGTGGCAAACTTTGCAGCAACCAAGACAATATGGATTCACGTGGCCCTCAACAGCTTTCAGAAACAATGCTGACAGCTTTCAGAAACAGTGTGTTGTCACCATCAAAAAGTTGTAAATATTGAAAAATTATTTTGTTGTTTAGGAATCAGCTTTTGTATATAAGGGAGCCTTTCCTCCCATACAGAACACACCTGAATACCACACACATATCTCAATATCTGAAAACACCATACACTCAAGCATTTGTAGTCTTCATAGCATCCTTGTAAACACTTCTTTGTAATCACTTTCTTGTAAACAACCATCTCTGTAAACATTCCATATATCAATAAAAGTTCAAGTGTACATATTCAAGCAATCTTCAAGTCTTAAGTAAGTTTTCTTTTCCTTCTTTAGTGTGTTTGTTTAATTAGACTTCTAGTCCAAAACAGGAAAACACAATTGTGATTATATTATTAATCTGCTAAACTGACGATCATACTTTGTTCGAGCACTCTGTTATAGTTGAATGCTTGCCATACAAATAACATACAAATAACTAGACATTAACCAGGGTACCTCTGAGTTCTTTGTACCTCTGAGTTCAGCCGTTAAGGCCTTATACTTGTACTGTGAGTGGCCGTCATGCTGAAACATGTCGAGTTCCATGTGCAAGGTTCTATGTCTAGTTGTTATAATGGTCATCTGACTATTATAATAGTAAAGTACCTTGAGGACGGAAGTCATTAAAGCAACTGATATCACACTTGTTTATTTTGTATGAATAACAGATATTATTGTCCCTGTAGACTTTGTCAACCACAATTACCAGGTATTTATTGTCCTAGACATCCAACTATAAATAGCATAAAGAGAAGATTATCATTTATATCCAAAAGAATTAGCAGGACCTTGAAGAAGCAAAAGTTTTATCTTGGTTATTTTGAACATCCTTCATTTATTAGTAAATATAATAACACTGAAGTGCAGCATAAAGTTTTAGAAGCAAAAAGAGTAACTGACCAAGTTTTAGAGACCCTGAGAGAAGAAAGAGAGGTTCTAAGAAACCAATTAGCTGTAACTTTAGAGAAAGGTAGACTATAGTATATGATAGATTATCTTAATTTAAAAATTAGTGAACCCCAACAACAACAACAACAAAGCCTTTTCCCACCAAGTGGGGTCGGCTATATGAATCCTAGAACGCCATTGCGCTCGGTTTTGTGTCATGTCCTCCGTTAGATCCAAGTACTCTAAGTCTTTTCTTAGAGTCTCTTCCAAAGTTTTCCTAGGTCTTCCTCTACCCCTTCGGCCCTGAACCTCTGTCCCGTAGTCACATCTTCGAACCGGAGCGTCATTCGGCCTTCTTTGCACATGTCCAAATCACCGGAGCCGATTTTCTCTCATCTTTCCTACAATTTCGGCTACTCCTACTTTACCTCGGATATCCTCATTCCCAATCTTATCCTTTCTCGTGTGCCCACACATCCCACGAAGCATCCTCATCTCCGCTACACCCATTTTGTGTACGTGTTGATGCTTCACCGCCCAACATTCTGTGCCATACAACATCGCTGGCCTTATTGCCGTCCTATAAAATTTTCCCTTGAGCTTCAGTGGCCTACGACGGTCACACAACACGCCGGATGCATTCTAACACTTCATCCATCCAGCTCGTATTCTATGGTTGAGATCTCCATCTAATTCTCCGTTCTCTTGCAAGATAGATCCTAGGTAGCGAAAACGGTCGCTTTTTGTGATCTTCGCTAGATTGCTCCGGTCATTAGTGTGGATAAGTATATAAATGGATAGAGATAGGAAAGCAAACACAAGATGTACGTGGTTCACCCATATTGGCTACGTCCACGGAATAGAAGAGTTCTTATTAATTGTGAAGGGTTTACACAAGTACATAGGTTCAAGCTCTCCTTTAGTGAGTACAAGTGAATGATTTAGTACAAATGACATTAAGAAATATTGTGGGAGAATGATCTCGTAATCACGAAACTTCTAAGTATCGGAGTGTGGAGTCGTCTTGACTTGCCTTATCTGTCTCATAGGTAGATGTGGCATCTTCTCTGGAAGTACTCTTCCTCCATCCAGGGGTGGTATCTTTAACTGGTGGAGATGCACAAGGTAATGTATCAATTTCACTTGAAGCTTACTTGTAGTTTCAGGCTTGGTCAAGCGCGATACAAACCATGTAGTAGGAGTCCCCCAAGTCGCCGAGCTAGGGGGTCTGCTGAAAGAGGTGACAGACAAGGTAAGCAATCAGAGCTCCGACTGATTGTTCACCTTCTCCCCATCTTGCAGCAGCATGAAGGATAAAGAGAAGAAAAATGAGAAGAGATGATATGAGATACTTTTGCTTTTGAAGAAGTAACTTTCCACAGGCTTATTCTTGAACTGAGCTGGAGGGTTTTCTGGTTTCCTCCAGAGTATAAGGCCGACTGAAGAATTTGAGGGTCAAAACAAGTCCATCAAATCTAGAGTACGTTCCACCCTGCTGATATGGGATACTTTTGCTTTTGACAGAGTAATGGATGTATCGGCACGTGTGCTGTTACGCTTGTCTCCACATGCTTCCTTGTATCCTTCGCACTTGCCCTATCTGTTCCTC